ATTTTGGGAAACTAGATCTACATTTTGAGAAATTTACGCCTACGTTTTGATAAATCAGACATTGAATTTTGCAATTACATTTTGATTTTAACATGGACTTTTGCTGCGTATGGCACCCCATAGTGTAGAAGCTCGTCGCGATCATACCATGAGCTGTCCACTTGCGTCAACTCGCATGAAATCGCCTCATTTTAGGTCAAATCGTGTCAAGTAATGTCGGATTGCGTCAGTACACGTCAATTCGCGTCAACTTACAGTATAATTATTAATGAGAATTTCAACAAAAAAAACTTATTTTATTATTGTAATTGCAATTCTTTGATATTCTTTTCAAAACAATAATTTTGTAACAATTTAAAGAAAACGTATTAGTATTTTGACTTCTTTTGACTCCTGTGGTCTTCCTTTTGACAATGTGTCTGCATGTTCCCTGTATGTGTACTAAAGTACACACTTCATTCTTACAGTATTTTTGCATTCATATTCCTTTTTTAAAATTATTGTATTTATTTTACTTTCAAATTGTAATAAAGGATTAAATGTGGGGAAATTTAAACTTGATGCATTGTTATGATGTGCAAGGATGTATCATTGTTTTGTATACTACGGTTGACACATGTTGGGACACATTTTATTAAATAGAAATTGAAATTTAATACTGTAATATGAAAAATTCATATTTATTTCTCAAATATTCTGAGAGCTTATACAATATATAACTCTATATTTATGTACTGTACACGTGTTATACATCTTAATAAAAGCTTCTATGCTCTAGTGAGTCTGTTACTTTTTAAATTTTCTATATAATACTTAATAAATATACAGTGAAGCGTTTCGCAGTCCTTTGTCATTGTGTGATTATTCTCATGGTTCTAAAGTTCTCAAGGGTTACACCGTTACATTATACGGTACTTTTTTTAACTTTTGTACATCATACATAATAAATAAAAATAGATAATGCTTTACATACTCCTGTGTCATTGTGTGTTTGGTCTCATGGTTCTAAGTTCTTACATTCTCATGGGTTACACCATTACATTATAATTTTTAAAAATTTTCTATAATATATCTGTACAAAATGAATAAAAATAGATAATGATTTACGTACTCCTGTGTCACTGTGTGTTAAATCTCATGGTTCCAAAGTTCTTACATTCTCATGGGCTACACCGTACATTATACTTTTTAAAGTTTTCTTTATTATACCTGTACAAAATAAATAAAAATAGATAATGCTTTACGTACTCCTGTGTCACTGTGTGTTAAGTCTCATGGTTCTGAAGTTCTTACATTTTCAAGGGTCACACGGTTACGTTACCTTTTTTAAATTTTCTATATTATACATAATAATGATGAAATAAGAAACACATCAAATCTCAATCAAACAAATCATCTATGTAAATTTCGTCTAGGTATTCATCGTCTGCAAATTGAGCATCTTCATTCATGGTGTCTTTATCATCTCTGTTCTGACAGTTTGTACATTGACAAAGACCGGAGCATTTCATGTTCATTTTATTGCACTGACATCTGCCTTGATTGCACCCGGTCTTACAACCGCATTTGATGATCTCCATTAAACTATGCCTACTATATTATTTAAAATATACAATTTTAATTTATAAGATTAATTTTTACATGAACATAATAATTCATACTTAAACAATATATTAAATTTAAATGTAAATATAATGACATTAACGAATAAATAACAATAATTAAACGTGTACATAGTATCTATCACTACTACAATAACAAAATTATTTTTCAATCTTATAATCAATTTTATATAGCCGGAGTTAGTTTCGACCTAGGCAAACCTTTGCTAAAAAGGTACACTTTCTACATCAAAAGGCTTTTTCTATGAATGCAATGACCTGTTCGAAGCACGAACTCCTGTAGACCCAGTACCGTTACGATTTTCAATCGTACGGGAAATCCACTCACGAAGCTAAGTGGGGTAGGGCCTGCACAGTCAGCACCATTTTTTTAAAGAATGTTTTTAATACATTGTACAATGTGTCTGGGTAAGGTACTGACGGGACTACACTACACTTGGTAATGATAACTTATTATTGCTATCGATTTCGTGTCGATGTAACGACGATAGCAAACAGGGTGGAAGTCTTATCACATCCTCGTAATCGTATGTCTTTCCCTCATCCATTCCAACCAAGACACAAGAGGCACATCCTAGGCTAGTTAAGACACAAGTTTGTCAGCTATAGTTCGGTTATGACTGTCTAAAACTATCCATAATTGGTTACAAGTAACAATCTTCAAGAATCTGGTTACTGTAACTAGAATTGGAGTTTCATTAGCAATTTCTTCGCGGTGAAAACAACACTTTATTACGACACCGGCACGCTGTCCGCCGCTAGTCGCCATGTTGTTGTTTACTGTTGTTGGCTGCACCACAACACGTGAAGTTATTGTAACAAAAACAATTTAATAGTAGTCTAAAAAATATTATTCTGTAATTAAAATACAAACTATATCTAATTATAATGTTTAAATTTGTTTTTAAAGCAGTAATACGAAGTTCGCAAATCAAAAATACAATATTCGAACGAGTACAGTGACGAGTACAATGACGTACAATGTCGTGTGCTAATCTAGCGCAAAGAACTTTCAATTTCGTACGTTTAAACGTCATTTTCTCGTATTTGCAGAAGTTCTGACGGTCGAACTTTTTTTTTGGTGCTTTTAAATGTTATTATAATAATTATAATAATGAGTGAAAGTTAGGACAATTTCGGAACGGGACTGAACGTTAGGATTTTCACCCCATGGCCTAGATGATGGATGTTATAAAAAAAAACTAGTATTTAGTGACACAATTACAAAAAACGCACTGGAATGGTTTTTTTTCTGCTATTCCTTTGACAGCTTACTAACGTAAAACCAATTGAATATCAAAGCAACAGGTTAGATCTAAGGTTAATTGATGATCGGGTGAATTATTTCTGCGATATTGTAGGCAGATTCCGATAGTATAGGTGTAATTTTGCCCTACCTGACGTGGAAATGTACCGAATACTCAGTACATTTGAAAATAACTGCGAAAGAAATCGCAAGTTGTTCTCGGGTGGGACTCGAACCCACGATCTCCAGATCATTAACCTGGCATCATACCAGAGCACCGAGCTTGCGCCTGATGGCCAGGGTTGAATTCGAGTCCAAGTAAGCAGCGGGTACTGCAGTGTTGATAGTAATTGTTATTGTCGTGATGGAATAATAGACAATAGTGATCTGGAGATCGTGGGTTCGAGTCCCACCCGAGAACAACTTGCTATTTTTTTTGGCAGTTGTTTTCAAATGTACTGAGTATTCGGTATATTTCCACGTCAGGTAGGGCAAAAATACACCTATACATGTTTCTCCTGACGCAAATCCAGTTATTGTCTATTATTCCATCACGACAATAACAATTACTATCAGATTCCGATAGCTTATCAACCTACAAACTAACGATTCACAAATATTCATTGGATGTAGATGATTCAATGGGGCATATAGTGTATTTATCTTTCTTAGATCTGCGACTAGAAATATAGTAACCGCACGACCAAATGATAATGACGTCAGGTCGAGATCTGATAAACCAATACAATACAATCAAAAAACGTATCTGTAATATACACAAACGGAGACATCTGTTCTTTACTGAAATTTTTGTGGTTTATCTTTGCTGTGTTTAACACACAAACATTAAAAATGCAAGTCCTAACCTAATTTTTAGGCGAAATCAGAGACTCTGCTTTTAGTATTATACAGTATCGAACTAGTTTATATCCGTAACATCAAAGATAAAGAAAATCACAATTTACTTATTTATTGTTATATTGTATTAATTATATTCGTTAACGTTTGTATTATGATAAGACGTTAGTTTCAATTGAGTTACAGTCATGATTGTAAAATAATTAACTAGGACTTAATAAGGATATTATGTTAAATTGGTATTAACTTGTTTACCAGGATATAATGTACTAATAGTATTAGGCTTTGCAATCATTTTACGTGGTCTGGATTTCTTTAAAACCGGATTAGGCCTAACTGTTTTAATAATTCTAATGCTGCAATAGTCTAGGACTATAGCCCATTTTTCTACATAGCTGTTTTTACTAGTAATTTTCTTCCAATTTATCAATAATTCATAAGGCTTCGTTTTAACTGGTCTCTTTCAACCAGTCATTCTGTTTGATTTTTCTATTGCTTCATTTACATATTTTGAATGAACAGTTTGATCTTGTGTTTTTCAGTTGATCTGATAAATCTAGCTAATGCTTGCGTGTCAATAAATTTTGTTTAGTCAGAAGAAGGTGCTACATTTCTTGTTTTCATTTGTTTTCAGTTTTGTCTGGTTAAATTTTACTAACACGATTCATAATAAACATATAAACTATAAAATATGTTATATAAAAAAATATATTATTTATCTTTTAATATAACTTGTAATAATTTTGTACTTTGCAAGGTTAGGAGTACATTGTTGTCCCGTTTCAAGAGCTGTATGAATTTACCCGTAATTTCCCTACTATAGTGTAATATTTCCGGTTCAGTTCATTATTGAGGACGATATTGAGTGTTTTATAAAAGTGTGAAAACAAGTAGAGCCGTTCTATACAAATTTTAACAATGCGTTTTTTTTTTTTTTTTTTTTTTTTTTTATACTTTTTTTTTTTTTTTTTTAATGGAAGTACAAATATATCACATTATATCCATCACGCATGGTTGGGTTACTGGTTTCAGTTATAGGCCTACATCAACAAAATCATTGTCATATCAGTCTGTTTAAGAGCGTTTTACCAAGCAACATACATTTATTTCTTCATACTTGGAAAAGCTCATCTCTACTAGCAGCAACAGCGTTTATAATTATGTTTATATTTATCTGAACACTTTTATTCGATTGCAATGTCTATTCTATTTTGGACGTCACTCATACTTTTGCAAATTTGCATCGAGGTCTCAAGCCTGTCGGCATGTGGTAACGCACATTCGATTGCTCTTTGTAGCTGTTGGAGGATTGATGACTGGACTTGGGCCGTTAATTGTACTGGACTTGCACTAAGAGCATTACCCACCGAAATTCCAGTGAACACTACGTATCTGTAAGCATTGACCTGTTAAATATAACAGCGTGTTTATAACTAATGTTAGTAGTTGTTATGTTGAGCAACGTGCCTGAATGCGAAAATTCAAGGGTGTACTACTTGCCCACATAGCTCAGTTGGTAGAATATCCTAATGCTGGAAGTTCTTAGGTTCGAACCCCGAACGAAACAATACCTTTTTTTTAGAAAAATATATATAGGCCCTACTGTTATTAGGTTTAAGGGTTTTAGTTGGAATACATTTTTAAATGACATTTGGTCAGGCATAACATTTATAGCGGCCAGTGAAAACGTACAGTAAGAGAAATTGTCATAGTTTTGAAATCACCCCACAATTATAAAGTGTAAAATAAGAAAACATAGTGAGCAATGGGCATAACCGGTCAACGTGAAATAGTACAGGTACGTGGCGTTTAATATACAGTGATTTTAATGAAAAACGACAACAAATTGTATTTTATAGTTTTACAATAAACCCCAATTATACATTGCGCAATATATGGCAATTTAAATCTAAACCCGTTTTATTATTTAAAAAAAAGGTAAAATTATTACACACACATTTTTAAGTATTCATACGGCGAACGGTTCCTAACTGGCATGGGGCTTTGAAACCTTGCGGAAAATGAGTGGCTTCCAGACCAGCAGCCTACGGCTTTATTGACGCTTACCTCAAAGAACACGGCAAATAATTTTGCACGAGGGCCTGTTCTTATCTAGATACGCCATTTCATATAAAACAATTAAAAAAAAAGAAGCCAACAAATATGAAAGATTGCTTTTATGATAAATTAAGATGTTTTCCTTCAATAATTATTCTAAACCTTTAAATCGTTATTGTTACTCTGTACAAAGGTATGCTGGGACAAACAATTTAGCAGAGATAGACAATGATACGTTGCTTCGATTGCCAATCTTACACCATATGTAAGTTTGTACAATTTTAATTGTATTTTGTAAGAGAGGTTTATAATTATGATTTTAGTAAAATGTATTGTTTCGTTGTTCCCTTAAAAATCACAAAAAATGTCATAACATATTATTAATTATTTGTGTTTTTTTTTTGTTTTTTTGGGGGGGGGGGTGGCGTTTGTCGTAACATTATGAATACATTAATTCTATTTTATATATTCAAGTTGATAATTTTATTTTACTACAAAATGAGCAAGTTAATTTCCAATTTTATGATTTTGTATTTTTCAAGAGACATGGTATCCGACAAATTTTGATTTTATAATTGTCATGTGATTATAAATTACGCGGTATCTTTATTTAGAAACACATAATCTTTATAAAACATATTGTAAAACAAATGTTATATTGCAGCCCATACTTTTTGTATAAATGTTTTTTTTTTATTATTGTTTACAATACAAAAGGGTTACAACCAAATTTACGAAAGAGAAACTATCATTACAATTAATATAAAAAACGACAATTCTCAAATTCTATTGTACGTTTCTCACATTTAGAGTGTTGGACTATAACAAACTGAGTACTTTACCTAAGTTTCCAAAAGGAATCAGAACAATGTATGTATTGCTATATTTGCTTTTACTACAAAATAATTAAATTATTATATTAATATGAGCCTATTGTATACTTTACTTCTTTATTTTCTTCTTCATTTCCTTCTCTTTCTTCTTGAATCATCAGCGTTGTCGTCATCATCATTATCAAATCACATCAACAAGTACAACAAAAGCAGCTTCGCTCAATTGACAAACCTGGTGGGTAGATTGCCTTGCCGAAGGACACAAGCAAAATGCATATTGAACCTCTGCCATTAAAGTTAAGAAGCAGAACCGTAACCGCTGCGCTAAACTGCGCCCATAAACAATCAGCATCAAAATCACAACCACCATTACCATCAGGCTAAAAAAAAAAAATGTTGTCTTGCCCTCCGCGATCGACCAAAAAATCGGGCCGGCATTTTTTTTATTTTTTTTTATTCAAGTACAAATTCGAGAAATACCACTTCCGAATGTAAAATTTAAAACATAAAATCGGAAACAAGCATGTACTTTTAGCAAAATCGGTCATAGATGCATGCGTAACATCGGTAAAATAGAAGGCATAATTTTGAGAACAGAACGCGACGACGACAACAACGTATGCACGCAACATCGGATCTTTCGCGGCGAGCTGTCAGGCCATGACCAGATCTACAGATCTAGACCTAGCCTATTCTTTACTATTGCTGTACAGGTTGTGGTTGCTTGAATCAAAAATCGCATTAATTACTTTACGGTATATTGAACAATAAATAAAAAATGCTTTGGTCTATCCAACTATAAGGCCCCATAAAAAATATTAGTTTATCACCCCCTCCCTCATCATTTTTGGGGAAATTCAGATTTTTTTTTTCAATCAACATATATTTTAATTTTAAACGGTCGTTTTTCCATCTTTTTTTTATTTGAAAAGCTCAGGGTGTTTATTGGTACACAAAAAACATATTTTTTGAATATAAATTTAATTCCATTGTTAAGACTTTTTATATATGTATCCCTAACCATTGATATATAGGTAAAATGGGGGTGAAGTTGGCAAAAAAACAAAAAAACAAAAAAACAAAAAAAAAAACAAAAACACTTCCTTTGCTCATCAGTTTTTATTCTTTGATAGGGTGATAAACTAATTTTTTTTTAATGGGACCTAAACGAAATATTTTTCCTTTTTTTCTAGAAGTTTACTTCGATTGTATTATATAGAGGGCGGTTGTTTGGACATTTTTCGTAGCCATAGTAATGGTAATTGGTAAAATGGTACTTTATAAGTTATTTAAGAAATTTTTTGAGGAATCGTTCATATAACTTTCTTGTATGACTATACGTTTTGTGGATTATAAACATTTAAGGGCAAAACAACAATTTTTTTTTGGCCTCAACCTGAGACTATAAAACAGACCTTCAGACAATGAGACACTTGTGTGCGGACAGCGTTCAACCGAATATGAACTTGTATATGCACTTGACCACCATCACATCAGTCACCATCCCATTAGTGTCACCACTACCATCACCAACGTCATGGCCAGCAGCATCACCACCCACCAAAATACCACTACAATTACCAATACCATGCAGTGGCGGATTTAAGGGGGGAAGTCGGCCTGGGCCCACCTAAATTTTTCAAAAAGAAAAAATATATATATACTGTAGGCCTATCCAGATCAAAGCCTGATTGGATTTATTCGGTGTAAACACCAAGCATAGCCCACGAAAGTCTAGAAGAAGACTTATTTTCAGTGGGGTCCTGGTGGTGATTGGGCAGTAAACCGGGAGAAAATCCCTTACTCTTTATGCACACGGTACCAACGGCTTAAACGTCTCATCCGAAAGAGGGTGCGCTATTTTAACTTCAGCCCTCTAGCTGAAACACAAGGAGTGCGATGGGAATTGAACTGGAAACCTAGAGATCTCCACGGTTTAGCGCGCACACAGTAGGTACCACTAGATTAGCCGATTGAGCTAATCTGCTCTCTGTGTTAACTGGCCCTTTGTTGAATGCCCATCTAATTTTCACTATAATATATAAACTAAAAGAGCCGTGTTTGGGCGGATGCACGATTTAGGGGTGCGTGATAGTCCACACTACCCTAGTCCCACCATGAATGGCGTGAGAATGTTGGGGCATTTTGAGAATATGAAGTGCCCGGAAATTGCACTCTTATACCTCATACCTTTAAAAATCTTACCGGTAATTCATATCAACAATACAACAAATATTTTTCCTAATACAATTTAGGGGGTGCTATCGCACCGTCTGCACCCCTTTCCCCATATCCGCCAAGCCGCAATTATATCAATTGTATCCGCTCAATTTGCCCAAAATCAAATTTTATTTATTTTTTATTATTATTTTTTTAATCGAACAGTAGTTCCCTCGCGACGACGAAGCACAGGGCAGCTGATCATTGAGGCTGACATTGGTTTGCAAATAGCGCACGCGCAAATATGCTCTATAAGGATGATTATGAATAATTCATAAGATTTTACCAAGCAATCCTACGTTAAGAAAATTCTGGACTGGACGGCCTGCCGTCCGACGAACGACTAGGTCGTCGGATAGAAAATTTAAAAAGTGTATAATTTGCCTATCAAAATAACGTTATTTTGATTGCCAGTCCCTAATATCGTGGTCTAAAAGCACATCTAGAACCATACTAAGCCATAAAAACACTCCCTATGAACCCGTAGTTCGGACCCGTCCGTCGGACACGTTGGACTCCTCGTCGGGCAAATTTTGGCGCCACCGCTGGTTTTAGACGGAGGTGTCTACAAAGTCTATGTGAAATTCCTTCCCTGGGCCTCGTCTATCTTGATCCGCCACAGCCAATACTTTTACCATTATTGTACAATAATCTATAATCATTCTTTGTAATTCATATAAAAGTAATGCTCACATTTACAGGTTATCTCATCAATCCGTGTTTAGCTGCATTGTCATACATTGCTACCAAAATCAACAGAATATTCACAAGCTGGTATATATCTTGATACTGAAGTTTCAATATTTCGTCACCGACACAATGACGAGACACAAATTTTAAAAATGATATTTTTTTATTTGTTCTTTGACGTTTTGATACGTACACCGAACTCTACTTTTTTACATAATTGTTGAGAGTGCAACTACATTAGTTGATTAGACTAAGAAGCAGTGCACACACCGAGAAAATAAAGTTTTAATTTTCAAGAACACACTTTTAGTTGTTTATCAGAAGGCGCGTCCGGCGTTGCACTCGTTGTGATCGGCTATATAAGGCATGGCTATAGGGTAGGACTAGACATAAAAATTAGATTCTCTAACTTTCCGAGGCATAACACTACCTATTTACAGTATAACTTGGAATAGGCCTATACACATGCATCAAGTGTGGAATTATTAGTAAAAACATAATAGTTTAAGCAGGAAAACCTAATTTGTATGCCTATGACTTCATTGGTAAAATATAAGCTAAAAATGTAATACAATTTGTGTTTGAGATTCCTTTTTTTACTAAGAGACAATTAAACAACGTATAAACAACCTATGCTGGATTTATTTTTATAGGTTTCATGAACAGACACATACTTTTCACGCTAGTTATCAGGTTAATTAAAGTTAGGAGAAGAAAACTAAATTGAATATTTGAATTGTTTAAACAGTAAAAGTAAAACTTTTTTCAAAATGTTGTTTTGGTCGAAATTGAAATGTGTGTCTCTTCGTAAAAACTGTGACGATTTATTTAGTGAACGTTCAAATATTAAAGCTAACTTATAAGTGTGCCTCATATATAAAGCAGATAAAGGTACAACTTAAACCGTCCTATCATTAGGTTTTAATAACAGGGTACAATAATTCGTGTTAAACTACTATGTTACGTTTCTATCATTGATATATATATATATCTATTTTTTATTCACAGATCTGCTAATTACAACAACATTGAATCCATTGATGGTGCTTTTCAGGGTCTAACTGCACTTGCTCGAGTGTTCGTACTTTAGCTATTATACATGTATTATTTAATAAGCTAACTTGCAGTCTATAACAATATAAGTTCCAATTTTGAAAAACCCCATAACCTCTTCTATTGGTCCAGTAAATATTATACAAAAACATTGTGCAAAAAAAGTTAACTTTGTAATTTAATTGCCTAATTTGTAAATTAAAGGTATCAACATAATTATAGTGAAAATTTGAATGCGAAAAAGTTTCCCTGTCAATTAACAAACATATAAATAATACATTTCCTCTGATCTTTTTTTTTTTTTTTTTAATTAGCTGGTATTGATTTTCGGATTTTCGTAGTGTCTTTCAATTAGCGAAAGCTAAGTTATAATGACCACCTGTTTCTGGTTAGAAGTTAATAACTAATTATTTTGCGAACAGTAGGCCTACATCATTAATATTATTATTTTTGTAGAGCGCTGAACTCAAACAAAATAAAAATAATAAAGAACACAACATTTCAAGATTCAAAAGGCCTTCTGAATCTGTGAGTACACAAGTTACTTATTAATCAGTCATTTTGTTTTATACATTGACATTAAAGTGATGTTGGCCCGTAAATGCAATACGTGGTGGGCAACTTATTAAATGTACCAAGATAAAATTGTTTGAGTTATTTCGATGACATGGTAATAATGTCTCCATTTGCAAGTGGTCTTCAGCGCCTTCTTGATATTTGTATGATAATATGTTGATGATGTTTACTACTTTAGGACATGTGATTACATCAAATTGTAGCGACGCCCCTGTAAACAGGGCGTAATGAATACAAGCCAATTGTAGAAATTTCAAAAGGTGCTCTGATGAAGTTAAAAGCTTTTTATTTAAAACGTTATA